GTGGTGTGTTACTCCACAACGCAGGTGGGAAATGTTAAAGATAATGGATCAGCTTCTCATTCAGCCACATCAGGAGAGCTACTTCAATTTTGACTGTGAATCCAGCCTGCAGTGGCAGCGGATTATTCTATTCCTACGAGACGACTCAAATATCAGGGATATCTCTATAGCACGGGTTGAATGCAGGGAGGCAGCGACCCAGCAGACAGAGTCTGAGGCTGTCAAAGTCATCAGATGTCAGCTGAGCCACTGTCATCACCTGCATATGCTCTTCATCCACAGCAAAAGCAGATGATGCAGCTGAGTCTAACTTAACTAAGACAGCTCTTTATAGCCTTGGATAGTTGAGGAAGGAGACATAATTCTTCATCTCATTAAAGTCTTAATTCTTCATTTAACCAAGGAGATTTCATAGTGGTGAAAGAAACCACATAAGCCAACCTCCAGCTACCATGGAGACATAAATTGTATCCAGGCATGTTTTTAATATCGCCGAACTTTGTGTTTTCTGCTAATTTCATAATCTTATTCTCTATTACTGTGGTGGTTGTCCACGGTCAACACCTAAGCACCTCACAGCCACTTGCTCACTCCCCACCCTGGAGGGACAACAAAGAGAACAGGAAGAGCAAAAGTGAGAAAACCCGTGAATCAGGACAAAGACAGTCTAATAAGTGAAGGAAAGAGGAAAAAGAAACCCACACAACATGTGATGCGAAGGCAATCACTCTTCACCTCCCACAAGACCAATGCCCAGACAGCCTCAGCAATGCCCACCTCCCGCAAGAAAACCTTCCCTTCAGCTTTTACTGCTGAGCATGATGCCATAGGGCAGGGAATATCCCCTTGGTTAGGCTGGGTTGGCTGTCCCTGTTGCATCCCCTCCCAGCCTCTTGCCTACCCTAGACTTAGCTGCTGGGGAGGCAGAGTACGGAAAAAGAGAAAGCCTTGATGCTGTGCAAGTCCGGCCCATCAACAGCCAAAACACTGATGTATCATTAACACTGTTTTAGTCACAAATCCGAAACACAGCAGGGTATAGGTGGCTATGAAGCGAATTCCATCCCAGACAGATTCAGTACAATTATGCCATTTGCATCACTAATGAAACAGTGCCCAAGACCAGGCACACCTTGCATCCTTTCCGTACAACCTTTGACAGGACAAGGAGACCACAGACATTACTCTCTGGGTGCAGTCTGCAAATGGCATTTGTAAAATACAACAAACCCATCTACTCTACACATCTCTACTTTGCCTACAGGAAATAAGCAGAAACAGAATCAAAGACCTTACCACAGTCTGGATATTTGGCATTGATTGCTTCTGCTCTAGCCACATGGCCTTGCGACCTTGTTAGAGAAGATCAGGCTGGTGTAACGTCATATTGTTCCTTACAAATCCACCCAGACTGACAGATAAAGAAAGGCTACGTAGAAGTAATTCAATAATTAAGAACTCAAGACTAAAAGGCAACTCAAGTGCCATCACAGTGAATTTTTGAAAATGTGTTTGTTACAGTAAAGAGCTGGCAAGCTGCGAGAACTGTTGAGGTATAAGACTTCAGCCCTGGGTCTGGGTATTGAAAGTGAATGTTCTTGTCCTGACACAGGAGTGTTTCCAATGTACCAGTTCCCAGATGTTTGCTTGGTCTCATTTTCCTGCACCTTGCCAAATAGAGACCAAAAGCTCTTTAGCCAGGGCTTACTTTTTTAAAAAAGTTTTCTGTGGTCCTGCTGGAAACTACTGAAAACACACGTGGGGATCTACATTAGTTCCTTGACTACTGCAAACATAAATCTGTTTGCTCTTGGGCCTCCACTGTTCACAGTATTATCAACTCTTCAGCGTGCATGGGTTCCAAAACTGGATAAAAGCACAGAAAAAAAAGTCACAAAGCACTCCTCAATACAAGAGAACACCTCTGTATCAGGAAGGCCCTGAGCTGCAAATTGCTGCACCTTTCTTATAGTCCTTTGTAGGTGCCTGTTGTTAGGCTCTAGGAAGATAGATACTATCATGTTATGCTCTAATTTGTCTCGGCCAGTAAAAAGGTCTGAACCAACCAAACAGAAATTATTGTCATAATTGATCTACCAAGCCAAGCTATCCTTAATGCCTCTTCCTTGTCATAATGCAACCTTCGGAGCTGGTAGCACTGTTACCTCTGTTTTACAGACTAGGAGCAGAAACATAAAAAATAAATTGACTTGGAGTTGTGTTTCCTGAGGTCCTGCCCGCCCAGCTGCATGACTGCACAAAGGACCTGGTTGGAGCTCTCGTGTTTTCTATCTGATCCCTCATGGGAGTTTATTTTCCAAGAAAACCAGAACATGGCAGAAAAAGCCAGTAAAACCCACTCTACTATGGGATCTGAGGTAAACTCCCAACTAAGAGTTTGAAAAAGTGCCAAGTAGTTTAGATGTCCCAGTTTAAATGTAGCCAAAGAGATAAAGTGACCTGGGAGAGATTAAACAGGCAACCTAGTGGGAACTGAGTATCCCAGGCTAGCCCACAACCATGAGATGATCCCTCCCACAGAGCAATGGCTGTCTTCTGATCTTTTCATAATCTGATCTTAACACAGTCAAGACTTAATATTATCAGCAGAGTTATCAAACTCAGTGTTGTTTTTTATTTCAGCTCGCACATATACATACACTCAGACTCCCTGAAAAGGACATAACCTCTGTAATTAAGTATGGTGGGGCAAAAGGTGCTTGCTTTCATGACAGACAGATGCAGATTCTTAATGCCCAGAGAGTGTTTGTAACATTATTGGGAGTCATGAACCTAAGCTACTATTCCAAACAGTCTTAAACTCTGCTTAAGGTAGGCAGTGACGTCTCAGAAGAAATACATTAAAAGTAAGGTGGGCTTTTTGATTGTAATTATATCACCAGCCAAAGTCTTCTCTGCCCAGTTTGTGTTCTGATTAGGTAAATGTTTCTGCAGCAGACTTGCTTCCACCAAAATGGTTTCATTCAGATGAAAAAGCCTATTTAACTGCACACCTAGTTAAAGGCACCATGTATGTCTTTGCTGGAGCTAAGCGCTCTCTCTCTACCTGCCAGCACTTTGCAGTTGGCTCTTGCCCCTGTTCTGCAATTATTGAAAAGAAGTGATATCCAACCTATGGGTCATGGCCATACACAGCCCACTAAAAGAGTTACTGTAAACCACAGCCTGCTCCTACCTTTCTTTTCTCCTGTCGCCTCCTGTTTCAAGAAGGTACCTGCAGGCAAACAACATTCTCAAGTCAACAACTGCAGTGAGCAGAGGTCACACTGTTGCACAAGGGAGGTACGGTCAAGTCATGGCAGGAAAAGGCTGGGAGACACTCTGAAAAATGTGCTGTCCTGGAAGCAGTACTACAGCTCCCGTCAAGAGCGTCTGAATGCCACCATCATACCATGGCATCTCCGAATATCGGTCCTCTTTCTGCATGCAAAACTTAGAAAGCTGACAGCTGTTTTTCACTGTATCACAGGAATAACTGAGTAAAAGCCATTCTCCCATCTCACCGCTGAAGAGCAAGGGTGAGGGTAAGAGCAGGAGGTCTCCCTAGCAGGAGTGCCTCTGAGCATTCACAGAAACACCCCGACATTAAGAGACAGGAAGAGCTGAACACTTGGAGAATTATATTTTTGGCACTTTTACTGTCTGGTACAGACTAACTTCCTCTGGGCAACTCCTACACAAATGCAGTAGTCAAAGGCTTAAGTCAAAAATACATATGTTTTAATGCAATTATTTCATATCCAACAATAACCATTTCTTTAGGACGACCTAAGGCCAAATAAAGCATGCTTCCTGTGCCATAATAATCAAACTTAAGCTTAGGCTTGGTGAGTCAGAGTCAAAAGAAGAGGGAAAACCCTCTGACTTCCTGGAGACTTTAATCAGGTTTTGGTATCTAATAGCTTCTGAGTTCTGCAGGACCAAAGGATTAACTTGCAGATTACTGAAGCAGGAGAAAGTGGTCCTGCACTTTTTCTTGAATTTCTGCCCTTGCCATCTGATGTTGCTATTAAATTTTGTTTTACAGTTAAAGTTCCCTACTTCCACTATATTAACTCAAACTCTATGTAGTTTAACATTTTCACAGAATCATAGAATCACAGAATGGCTCGGGCGGGAAGGGACCTCTGGAGGTCATCTAGCCCAATCCCTCTGCCAAAGCAGGTTCACCTACAGCAAGTTGCACAGGATCACGTCCGGGAGGGTTTTGAGTATCGCCAGAGAAGGAGACTCCACAACCTCTCCAGGCAGCCTGTTCCAGTGCTCTGTCACCCTCAAAGTATAGAAGTTCTTCCTCATATTAAGATGAAACTTCCTGTGTTTCCATTTGTGTTCGTTGCCCCTTAACCTGTCACTGGGCACCACTGAAAAGAGTTTGGCCCCACCTCTTGACACCCACCCTTAAGGTATTTGTAAGCATTGATGAGATCCCTCCTCAGTCTTCTGCAGGCTGAACAGATCCAGTTCCCTCAGCCCTTCCTCATAAGGGAGATGCTCCAGTCCCCTCAGCATCTTTGTTGCCCTT